CTTAAAGACAAATAGTCAATCAAAAATGCCAAACACTCTTAGTAAATGTGTTATAACACAAGTCAGAAAAATGCCAAAGAAGCTTCTGAGAACATACTGACCAGAAGAGGACCAACCATGAGTCACCACCTGGTAGGAGCCGCTGAAGCCGGAAATGGGTCATATGTGGAGGCAAGACAAGGCCACGGTGCCTAAGGCAATCAAGCTACCTCCATCTTGAGAAAAGCATCCTATCTGGACAATTTCAGTCATTAGTCACTAGGCAACCTTGTGTCTAGTGATACTAACTTTGCAAAAGTATAAATAAACACTCTTACTGTTATTGGTCAGTCCTCTTGCCCATCACATAAAAGCCCTCCACCTGACCTCAGCTTTTATCTCATCTTTATTTTCCAGATCCCCTTGCTGTTTTCTCCTGAGAATCACTGAGATTAATGAGTCTCAACAGCTACCCCATGTCCATTACAACACCCAAAAGCCCAACTGATAACAGGGAGTGTGGCTGGATGGGAAGCAACAGCCACCAGTCACTACAAGAGGGAATGGAAATGGCCCAGCTACTCTGGAAGGCAGCTAGGCAATTGCCTAAAATTACATATGCTCACTTTGCAACCCAACAATCACTCTCCTTGGTATTTAGTCCAGTGAAATGAAAACCTACATCTATATAAAGCCTGCAGGCAAATGTTTACAACAGTGGATTCATCGCTGCCCAAACTCAGAATGGACCAAAAGTCCTTTCTCCTCCAGTGACTGGATAAACTGACACTGCCTCAGCCTCAAAATGTTTTTCAGAGCTAAAACAAGCCATCGAGCTACGCAAGGACTTACACGAAATGTAAAAGCAGCCAATTTGAAAAGGCTACATACTGTGTGACTCTAAAGATGTACCACTTTTGAAAAGGCCAAACCAAGAAGGCAATAAAGAGAGCAGTTTCCTAGGAGAAGGGGACACAGGGAAGGCCAGGTTTCTGTGGTTGTAAAATGGCTCTGTGATTTTCTAACATTGTGTGCACACCCCTACGCAGTAGTCAAAATCATAGAATGCAGAACACCAAGGGCGGACCCTCAGGCATACCACAGACTGGGGTGATAAGGGTTTGTCACTGCAGGTCTGTCAGCTTTTTTTTTTTTTTTTTTTTTTTTTTGTACAGGGTCTCACTATGCAGCTTGGACTCACAGGGATCCTCCTCTTTTCAGCATCCCCAGCGCTGGGATTATAGGCATGCGTCACCATGCTTGGTCTTGGTGGCCAGCTCAATGTCCCTGGGGGTGGGGCTGGTACAGCATGTGGTGCTGCGGCTCAAACTCTAGTCCCTGTGCTTGCCTATGCAGGTGCTTAGTCCACTGAGCTATCTCGCCAGCCTCTATCAGTTTTAAAAATCATGGATATCAACTACTGCTGGAAAGATTAGAAATAAAGAGGGCAGCCTGGGGAGATAGCTCAGTAGAATAAGTGCTTGCCTGGCAAACACAGAGTGCTGAGTTAAATCCCTGGTACCACAAAAAAAAAGAAAGAAGGCAGAAATATGAAAGCTGGATTTTGTGCTTAATTTTGCCAGAAACCTAAAATGGCTCTGTAAAGCAGTTTTTAAATTATAAAAAACAAAAACCACAATGAGATAGACTTTATAGTCATCGAGATACCCATAATAAAAAGAAAAAGCAAGTAAATGCCGAAGATGACATGGAGATGTCAGAACTCTTGGGAATGGAAAATAGAAAGCAGAATCATGGTTCCACAAACAACTAAAAATAGATGACCGCATAGCCAATGTACTGCGTCGCCCAGGCACTGTGCTGGGGTTATACACTTAAAATTAGAACAGGAAATGGCTCTCAAAGAGATACCTGCTAATCATATTTATAGCAGCATCAGAGTTGGAGGCCATTCAAGTGTCTGTAGATAGATGAATGGATAAACTAAATATGACCTTGACCTACAGTGGAATACCATTTATCCATGAAAATAAATGCAGTGCTGATACATGTCACAATATGGAAGAACTTGAGAACATGATGCTAAGTGAAATAAACCAGCCACAAAAGACAAATCCTCTATCATCCCACTTGCATGACCTACATCAGTGTGAGGGAGCCAAAATGTGACAAGAAATACAATGGTGGTTCCCAGAGGGTGGGGAGATGGGAGAAGTAGCTGCTTGTGGGTAGAGTTTCAGGTTTATAAGAAAAGATTTTGGAGATCAATGATGGTAATGCTCTCAGAACAGTAGCAGAGACTTAAAACTGCTACACTGTACACTTACACAGGCCTAAGAGGGAAAACTCTGTTACATCTATGGCACCATAGTAAAATAAAAAATAAGTATTTTGTAAGTAATTCTGTATTTTTATGTAATAATAAGAATTGAGAGGGCCATTCAGATAGCTCAGTGGATTAAAGTGCCTTCTTAGGAAGACACAGGGGCTGGGGATTGGATCCCCAGCCTGCCGTGCCATCCCCGCCCCTGGGGCACTCTGGGATGGCAATTGAGACTGGATGTGGTGGCACATACCTGTAATTCCAGTGCTTGGGAGGTTAAACACAGGAAGGATCACTACAGTGAAAAGTCTGGTCTGCGTAGTGAGACCCTGTACTAAATACATTAAAAAAAAAAAAAAAAGAATCGAGGACTTTGCAAACTGATAAGGAGGGAGACAGAGAATAGTTGCAAAGCTGTATCAGAAAGCACACATCGCTTATTCCAAACAGGTTTTACTGGACAGAAAGCTCTGCAACTTTCATGCCTTTGTAATTCTTGGAGTCTGTCCTCAACTGTAACAGCCTACATGACCATGTGACTGCCCAACTCTGAATGTTTATATTTATTCTGTTTGTGCTATGATGTGAAAAAACAAAAGACTGTAGTAGCCAGGGTAGGGGAAAAAGGCAAGTATGTTTCTTAAATGATTATCTAGTCCATTTACCAAAAGAGATGTAAACATCCTAGAGAAGCATCAGGAAACTGAGCCCAGTAATACTTAGAAATTGTGTTTATCCCACAAAAGTAAGGTCCTTTTAGCATCAAAAAAAAAAAAAAAAAAAATCCATCTATGTTAATTCACACAGTGACAGATTAAAGTGGGAAAGATAGATGTAAGTAGAAGCAGACAGTCTCCCATGAAAGTCAACACTGACTGATTTCTCTCTCAAAGCGGCAAATCATGTGGATAAGATGAAAGGCAGGGAAGGCAGCCTGAGCAGAGAGGCAAACCCGGAGCAATCAAGCAGCGACAGAAACGTGAGGAGGAGGGCTCCCTGCTCCAAGCAGAACAGACGCTGCGCTCTCTTCTTTTCATCTGGAGGGCAGCTCATGCTGTCTACTTTGTAACTGTGTCACAACATCCCTACATGTCAATGCCAGCTTTTATGTACCAGCAATAATGACATAATAACATAAAAATTATCAGAAAAAAGAAAATATCAAATTTATTTAAAAATTTCACTTGGATAGTTAAAAAAAAAAAGTTAAAGCCTTAAATAGGATACCACAAGAAAACCCAAAACACAACCTGTATAAAACATACCAAAACATGCTTAGTTTTACTGAAAAGCACAGAAAATGTAAATTAAGGTCACAAGAAACCATTTTATATGAACCAGACTGACAAAATAATTAAAGCTATGCAGAATAGCTGGGCTGCTACATATTGCTATTTGCAGTAGCCCAATCATTTCAAGATAAATACTTTTGTATTTACGAAGTTTCACATGGGCATAATTTACACCTAGCAAGTCCATTACTAAATGTACACTGGGGAACTCTTCACACATATGCCCGGGAAAGATATGTAGATGGCACAACATTATTCATAAATGAAAAGGAGACAGGGGAGCAGAGAGGAAGGAAACTACAAGTCCTTTGGCAAAAAAATGGATAAACAAATTGTGCTAAATTTATGCATATAATGTTAAAAATAAAGCATGGAAAATAACAGCCCTGGTTGTACATAAGCCTCAAAAATCTATCTCATAAAAGGACACCATTTGTGCAAACCTTACAGAATATGTTAATATATGATAATAAAATACGTGCCACTGCAGGGACACATGCACAGTGGCATTTAGAAGAAAAGCAGGTCAGTGGCATTTTAGTCAGGACATCAACTGCCTCCGGGGAACATTTACGGCACACATGACTTCACAGTCAGGACAAAGCCCTGCTTTTCTTCAAAGGGAAAATGGCTTATGTTGTTTACTTTCTAATTGTGTCATAACTTCCCTGTGCTTAAATGTCATATAAATGTACCAATTATTAGACAATAAAAAGCAATAATGACATAGTAATAAGAATGATCAGAAAAGCAAATATATATATATATATATATATATGAATGAGGAAGCACAGATGTCTTTACACACTAGTCATTCACCAGCAGCCTGGGGGAGTCCTCCAGCTACCCCCACCTGGAATGCCCTTCTGATTCCTCCACCAGCTCCTCCCTACCCCCCCCATCCACTCAGGCTTCCCAAGGCAACCTGCAGGACCACCTCAGCCCATGCCTCCATCCCCACCCTCGACAGGGACACTCCTCCCATCTGTCCTGCCAAGCTAGTTTGCCTTTCTTCTTTTCTGTTCTATAATTCTTATCACTTCCCAATGGGCCATACAAATCCATATGGCTCACAAAATTGACTTCCCTCCTTCCCCACTGAGAGTCGAAGGCTGGACCCCAGACACTGGTGTCCCAGGCTTGGACACTGTGGGTGATACCCTACTTCACCTAACAGTTGGGCACAGAGGGTCACACAGCCCCCCACTTCTATTTCATTAATTTCTCTTACCTTTAATATATAAAAAGGTTTGGGAAAACCTGAATCAGACAACATGAGCCAAATTGAAATCTTCCAGTGGGCCACTACTGGTGTCCCAAGGCTTGAATGGCTCTTATTATAGCTACAGATTATGTCACAACTAGTTTCAACAAAGGACAGTTCACATACTAGTTCATCTTTTAGGTCAAACTAAATGGTAAACAAATGATGAACAAACCATTACCATGTGTATATAAATGATCTGTCGTAATTTACAGACATCGATGTACCCCACAACATACACCGCAAACAAGGAGGCAACCTAAAATTTAGAAAGACATCAAGTTAAAAATAAAATCATATATTAAAAAAAACACCTGTAAGGATAAAAATTTTGTTGTTGCAAACTGATTTATATGCATTCAGACAGAGAGTTCTTTAGTTTTCTTTTTATCAATTTATTATAGAACAGTACACAAGATAGCAAATTCTGGCTGATTTTTCTTCTCTATACACACCTATCTCAGGTAACCATGGGAATTATGCATTTTGTGGATTAACTAAAACAACTCATTTTAATATTACATTGACTCTGGTCAACATGTACAATTAATTAAAAGGACAATGTCCAATAAATAGATGAAAATGTACTTACAACATGACTATTGATACATCACTGGATGTATTGCCTTGTGTCTAGAAGTCTTCCCAAAGCCTCATACACTTATAAGTAGGGTCTTCCCAGAGGTGGCTGCATTTTGAGTGTGTGACTGACTCATGATGCAATGCTAGGATTCAGGGTGCTAAGATTAGGGGTGTGTGATTACTACATCAGTTCCCTGATTGTTTTGGAACTGACCTAATCCCAGCCACCTTGATACAATACAAGGGACAGAAAAAGGCTTATCTTGTCCCTTGCTGCTTCTTCTGGTGCCTTTCTATTCTCCTCTGGGATGCCTCTCTGCAATGCCAGCCTGTCTTAGAACCACACAATTATGGACCGAAATCTCTACAAACTGTGACCTAAGTAAATCTTTCCCCCTTTAATGTTCAATGCTGAGTACTTTGTCTCAGCAATGAAAGAAAAGCCTCTTAAGACAGGAAGGCAAATTAAATGCAAAAATAATTAGGCGATGCATACTTGTACAAAAATTAATTTCTGCTTCTTAGTTATTATCTGCAAGTATCTCCATTAACGTTCTCTTTCATTAGTGTAACTATTCAAGCATTATTATAATCAAATTAAGCAAATTTCAAAATACAAGGACTATTTGCACTATGAAGGCATTTTTAATTTTCTTTCCCATTTAGAGAAAACTATATGTTATTTATTAAGAACCCTAAGAGTACTGGAATGATTTGGATGGATCAACTGATGACATGGTGACATAGTATCTTGTATAAAGCAGCAGCACGCAGACAGCACCTCTCTAGCCTTGTTCACTAAGAAAGGCACACACACCAAGCTCTGCCTCCTTTACTGTAGGAACGAGCACGGGCACACTGTACAACAGCGAGCTACTCCAACAGCGTAAATTCCACTTATCTGGTTTCCTAACTCCAAGTACTATAATAATTTTCACCGTTAACAAGAAAAATCACAAGCTGTCCCTTCAGACCCTTCATGCATCTGCCATGGAGAGCGTGCTTTGCTTGAGGAGACCAAGAGGACAGTCACACAGTAACTGTGTGTGTTTGTGGGGGGGTTGGCAACATGAGACCCTCAGAGCAGCAAGATACAACCCCAAAACAAAAGCTAAGAGCAGGCTATCTCCTGCGCTGGACGCAAAGGAAAGACCCCTTTCTACCCCTGGGAGCTAAGTAATACACCACACGTGAAGGCAGAGTCATACAGAATTTGGGAGCAATTTAAACCAAAACTGGACTTAAAACGTCATTAAATTAGGAAGACAAAGGACTCTGAAAGGTGAGATCAAAGGAAGAAGTACATGTTAAGCAGATTTCAAGAACAACACTCACTAGTTGCCTGACTGACATTGGCTAGGAACTGGGTACTGGATGGAGAGCCTTGTCTAAGCTGCCTCATCTGACCCTACAAAGCAGGTCCCCTTATTTTCCTTATTTCAGAAATGAGAGAGGCCTGGGGAAGATAGCTCAGTAGAATAAGCACTTGCCTAGCAAGTGCAGGGTCCTGAGTTCAGTCCGCTGTACCGCCAAAAAAAAAAAAAAAAAGAAAAGAGAAAGCTGGAACAAAGAACACTTAAGTTTTCTGTCCAAGCAGAGAAGCCAGTGAACAGGCAGGACTCAAATCCAAGTCTGACCTCATTTCTGAAGCAACACCCACCAAAGAATATTGAAAAACTCATAACACTAAGTAAAATAAATACTGTAGTTTCTCTTATATGAGAAGCCCCAAGAATAAATAATTTAAAAAGCAAAATAAAAAATAGACAATAGGAGACTGGGAGGTGGAGTGAGTTGAGAAGACTCAGGAGCGGGGTAGGGGGAGCAAGGGGCAGAGCATAGAAAGGTCAGGATCAATCCGCACAGCTGCCAAGGCCTCGTACCAATGCGCTCTTTATCACAGCTGAAAAAGGGAAATTACTTTAAGAACAGCATCCTGGAGGTAGGGATTAAAAGCCAGCAATTTCCTTTTTTTTAAAAAAAAAAAAAAAGCAACTCACCAATTACTTTGTATAGGCATGTCCAGCATGAAAGAACACAAAGACAGCAGGGAGGGGACATGAGCAATGTCACCCCATCCCTAGGCTGCCTTCCTTTATGGTCCTCTGCTGGTCGAGAGGCAAGCACTCACACAAGTGGGACACACACGCGTAAACTAGTGGCCAGGAGCACTGTAACTCCAGGACTCTCAGGTATTTACCCTGTTGTCCTGTGTAGGGTTATCCTACATGTGAGGCAGTAGGCATCAGTCATAAAACACAGATGTTTTGCTTAAGAGAAATACTGCGGCTTACCTAAGGGAAACGCTTCATGTTATGGTATCAGACCCCTTTCTAAGCTTGATGACAGATGTACTAAATAACAAGGAGGAACTGTCTTAGAGTTCAACAAATACTCTACTAAGTAAATAACATATATTTCCCTATTCTGAATTCTTTAAGAGTATTAACTAGAAAAATTTTAGGCTTAAATCAAATAATAGTTCATTCATAATTTTGTATGAATGATTTCTAAAGATTAAACACAGTAAGCTAAAATCAATATTAAAATAGAACCACTTCACCTGGGTAAGCAGTACAAACTGTGCAAACTGCCACGGAAGCATAAAGAAGACATTGGAAATGCAGAGTGCAATTAGGCTTCCTCTGTGAAGTTTTGTAGCCCTTGAAAAGATAAAATAAATGTCAGTAAGCTTATACACAAAACAGTCTGGCATGGTTCTAAACTGTTGCAAATCAGGGTATTGAATAGGTGCTGTTACAACATATATTGATCATAAACAGAACCAGTGGATTACAAGTTACACATCCTGACACACAGCTACATTTTTCTATGTAAAGTAAACACTTTTTTTTTTCCTTTGGTGGAACCAGGGATTGAACTCAGGCCCTTGCGCCTGCCAGGGAAGCACTTATTCCACTGAGCCATCTCTCCAGCCCCTAATTATTTTTTAATGCAAAAACTTCCTGCCCTCATTGGGAGAGGAAGGACAACAGGTCAACAAAATCACTTAAGTTTTAAAAACTGTATTCTGGTGAATTCATAATGAGACATTTGTAAACGACTCTGCAGATTGACTAGTTGGAATGAGAAGATGTCTACCAAAAAATGTGATGGAAGTGGTAGGATCTAAGCACTAAGAACCATGCGGGTAAGTTCTGTAGCACTTCATACCCAGAGGCAGGCAGCTAGCTGTGGGAGATATGGGGCCATGGAATGAAGGCTGGCCTTGTCCTGGAGGGGCAGGTGGGGCTTTTCTCCTCAATCTGTGAGCCAGGTAGGGCCCTGAAATACCTGTGTCTCTGCAGAGGTGCAGTATGTGCGTTGGCACCCTGAGGTGGGAGGCAGGCAACACAGAGGGAGGTGAAGGATCCTCCTGCAGGCTACCCAAGGGGCCTGAGCACCCCAGGCCATGCCTTTCCTTACTTTCTCCAGTATTCCTTCCCCAAAGGATGAACCTCTACTTGCTACGTGACTTGGAACCAAGCATTTGGCATGCTACCACGATAGGGCCACATACGCATGACCACCTCCTGCTGCCCAATGGGATGCTCACACACGTGCCATCCGTGGTTCAAGTGAAACCTATTACAAAATAGAAGTAGGTGGAACACAGCCTTCTTTAGTGGAGCAACAACTGTGTGTGACGAAGGGGTCTATCCTATGAACTTTCATGTCCATTATGTGTACATCTACATACATATATGCAAACAAGTGGCCACATTGTAAAACTTACTTCTTATTTCTCACTGATCAGTCAAAAGTTGAAGTCTGTCAAGACTCAGTACTGTTTCTGAGTATTAAACACGATTTCATCTCGTGTTTGCTTCCTGCCAAAGATCTTGGAGTAGACTCCTCCTATGGAAGAACAGCCCTTTCCTAGAGTTTCTTTCTTCCCAGAACAATGTAGGTATCAGAAGGTGGCAGAGAGTGGTAACTGCAGTTGGCCATGGAAGGACTGGAGGCAGAGAGGACTCCATGTGGTGAGAGTGCCAGGAATACAACAGGCACCCATGGCAAGAGAAAAGGAAGCACAAACGTTGACAAGAACAATCAAGAAAGAGCTAAGGTTGTGCTGCTTTCTAGTGAGTTATACAAAACTGCATCTCAAACACACCAGAAAGTCAAAACTAGACAAGGCCAGCTTGCTGAAATGAAAGCCTGCTGCTTCACAGATGATTCCTGGGCCTGAGGAACAGTTTCTTTCCCCCTTCACAGCAGGGCCCTCCCACTCCAGCCACGCTAACACAAGGCTTCCAGGCTACCAGCCCACGCCCTGCCACCTTCTGATACCTAGATTGTTCTGGGCAGGAAGAAACTCTAGGAAAGGGCTATTTTTCCATGAGAGGAGGAAGCTGTGATAAAGACCTGTGATGAAGATGGAGAGGAGCTTTGGAGGACATCCCCCGGAAAAAAACCTGGCAGGGGTGGACTCACCTCCACTGTCACCGAGCAAGCTTCCCATAGTAAATCACACTAGCCATCACCCTCGCTCCCTCCATAGGTGAGGGAGTCAAACCACCCAGGAACAAATAGGAAAGGTACCGATGGGGAAAGCTGCACAGATGGGCAGACAGGCGCAGGACCAAAACAGAGCGAGGACACCTGCAGAAGACACCCTGCAAAGCTCCAATGTTCCCTCCAATGTTAAGTGGGGGAAAAGAGACAGAAAGGGGAAAGCGGATGAGGTCCAATGAAAAGAACAACAAACTGCTGCATGAGGAAACAGGTTTGTTATAATCCCAGCACTGTGGGCCACCAAGGCAGTGCAAGGGAAAAGCTATCCAGGAGAAATTGCTCTTTTTAAAACTTTGTTCTTTCGAAGCTGCCTAGCTCTGTAACTGCTTTATGGCTTTGTCATTACTTTCTTGACCCTAGTAATCATAAGAACATAGGAGAATATGCAGGATGCCTGACCTGAGGGTACCACTGTACCAAGCTTCATGAGCTGGTGATCATTAATCTCCCCTTGTAACCAGTGATCTCACCCCGCCTGCTGATCAGAATGGCCAGGCTGCTGTCTTGCTTGCCTTTGCGCCTCCTATGCACCTCCTGTGTGCTCATCGTGTAAAGGTCTAGAGCACCAGAGATTGGGGCCCGATATTCTGGGAATGATTCCAACAGTGCCCATCAACATAAATAAGTCTGCCTCTAAATCCTGCATGGCATTTGGGTATTTCTGCTTGCTGCTGCAGCAAAAGGACCCCAAGTCAGAGCCCAGGCTGGGAAACTTTGGGACTTAGTAAGATTCTTTCTCAAAATAAATAAATAAATAAATAAATAAATAAATAAATAAAAATGGGACTGCACATGTAGCTCAATTCAAAGATCCTGGTTCAATCCCTGGTACCATAAAGAAGAAAAATAAACCAAAAAGAAAAGGACAACAATGTTTTTTGAGGGGAAGGAATAAGAAAAAACAGCAGTTTGCAGCAGAAGTACCCGAAGAACACTTGTGACAAAACAGCAGCAAGAAGCCTCCGACGGAAGCAGACAGCAACAGAAGTGGCCTGAGAATGGCAGGGAGAGCCGCAGCCTCTATGGACTCCTCCGTCCTGACCCCTGGGCAGGTGAAGGCAGGACTTCTGCCAGAGGAACAGGACTGCAGATGAGTGGCCAGGCACGAGTCACCCGGCCTGCAGAGGGGGAGGTGAATCCACTGTCCATGAGGCCAGAGCAAGAAAGTTCTGGCAAGGCCAGCCAGATAGCTCAGTGAACTAAAGCACCTGCTTAAGCACAGTGCAGGGACTGGGGTTCGATCCCTAGCAACACATGCCATGCCGGCCCCACCCCCAGGGCATGTGGAGACAGTGAATGAGACTGGGCGTGATGGCGCACGCCTGTAATCCCAGCCCTTGGGAGGCTGAAAACAGGACGATCACTACGAGTCTGATCTGTGTAGCGACATACTGTAGACCTTGTCCTAAATACATTAAAAAATAATAATAAAAGAAAGTTCTGGCAATGGAATCCCAGCTGCACAAGCGATAACCTCAAATCAAGAAGTTGGACGCTATCTCACCAATAAGCTTTTGCAATGCAAAGGGGACAACTGAGGACTGAAGTGTCAACCCACAGAATGGGAAGAATGACTGCCAGCTACAACTCAGGGAGAGAACTAGTATCTAGAACTTACAGTGAACTTCAAGAATCAGACTCACCCAAATAAAAGACCAAATTTTAAAAAAAAAGGCAACGGAAATGAACAGACACTTAGAAGAGCAAATGGCCACTAAGTACAAGAAAACATGTTCAACATTGTGGGGAATTAGAGAAATACAAATTAAAACGATGCCAAGATTCCACCTTACCCCGGGAAGAGCAGAAATCGTCAGGGAATCCCAATTACAAATGCAAGGGAGAATACGGGGAAAAGCCTCCTGCGCTTTCGCGGGGAATGGAGAGTAGTACAGCCACCATGGAAATCAGTAGGCAGATTCCGGAAAAAATAAAACTAGAAATTTCATTTGACCCAGTTGTTGTCTTTCTAGTCATCTTCCCAAAAGTGTTAACGTCACCATACACAAGGCACCCACATATTCATGTTTATAGCAGAATGATGCATAGCAGTTAAATCTTTGAAGTAGCCTCTATGTCCATCCGCAGATGCACAGAGAAAGAAAGTGTGGTATTCATACACAGTGGAGCGCTACTCCACCATAAAGAAGGATGAACAAGTCATTTGTAAGAAAATGGGTGCACCTTAGGACCGTAACATTAAGTGTAACAAGCCAGACACACAGCTTAAAGTGTCACTTGGGTTCTCTTATGTGAGAAAGTCAAAATATAATAGAAACAAGGAAATAGATCTTCTGTAAGTGAGAAGGGGATCTAGAGATGGAGGGCTGTAGTGAGGAGTGGAGAAGGAGAACAGAAAAACACATTAAACACATGTACTTACTTCCTACATGAAGTGTAAACATTAAGGACAGCAAATGTGCTAATAAATTAATCAATATGTGAATACTTGACAAAGCAGTGTGAAGGCAGTGTGCCTGCAGGCCTCTGCCCCCATGGCTCTGGCGGTGGAGGGTAGGGTCTGCCAGCAGAGGATCAAAGATCAACTGCCCAGGCCCAGGCTGGTGGGAAGAAGTGTCTATGCCAGGCCAGCACCCCAGCAAACGCTTTCCCTCTGGGTAGAAAGCAGCCCTGCCCACGCAGCTCCTTCCAGGGCCATGTGCCCAGGACACACCCTCCCGAAGCCTGGAAGCAGAGGGCAGGGCAGAAGCGACCAATCCACAGACACTCCCTGTGTCTGCAGGTGCTACGCAGGTGTTAGAGCCTGTGAGGAAAAGATTCAGGGGATGCAGTACAGCTGGCATTTGTGTACTTTAGAAGCTCACCATGTAAACCCACTGCCCTCTGCACCCAGAAAGGTCCTTCTCCAGACAACACACAAGAAACCAGGAGCCCCAGTCCTGCTGAGATCCACCAGCAGGAGCCCAGTGGCTCAGCACAGGAGACCCACAAGGACCTTCCCACCCCAGCGGAGCCCTGTGGTTCTTGGTCTGAGACAACCTCAGATTTTGCCACGCTTTGCTCAGTTTCCTCTGTGGAGTGAGGCCACATGAGCTGCAGCTCAGCTAGCGGGGTACAGCCATGAAGTCACTACCTGAGGCAGCTGGAACATGGGAGCACCTGGCCTGGTCCTGAGTGTCCAGCAGGAGTTCTCCTAGCAAGCCTGTGGTCCACGGGGAGGATTCCCTTCTGTTCCTGCTCTACGATTCTCAGAGAAGCTGAGAAGGCAGGAAGGCAGCTCTCAGGGTATGAACACCCCTGATTATGCTGAGCCAGTGACCTGCTCTTTGTTTCAAAGGACTGACTTTCATGGGATGAAGTCTAGCATGACCAGTCCCTCTTTCTCTCAACACAACAGAAAGGATTTGGGACAGCGGAGGTGGAGATGCAGGGGTGGTTTGCAATCCAGGAGCAGTCTCATGAACCAGTCAGGAAAAAGGAAGAGGGCTAGAGGCAGATGGACGAAATGTATTTGGTGCCAAGTATTTGTAAGTCTTGGTCTTAAAATATCTATACAAATTCAATCACAATGCCATTTACTTATTTTATTTTGGAAACTTAAGAAACTGTAGAGTACATTATTTAAGAATAAGTGAAAATTACCTGAGAATATGAGTCACCAGCAACATCTGAAGCACAAGGAATGGGTACGAGAAGCTTTCCCGGAGAGGTGGCGTCCACATCACACGGGTGCACTGGAAAGAGAACATTCAGACCATGTGACATGCTTGCTAAATTCGTGTTAGGACACCCAAGGGAAGGCTTCCACTTACACATGCAAGGAGAAGCTCTCCTCACACGTAATGTAAATGGTGCATTATGAAACCAGGCTTTCCACAAGGAGGGAAGCTGGGAAGTGCGAAGCAGTGCTGAGGTACACACGCTTGAGAGTGCGCATCGTGGGCGCACTCCGCCCTCCTTGTCTGCCCTCACAGCACTCACTGGCGGCTTGGCAGACCGCTAGCTGGGTTAATGTGAGCAGGGCGAGGGCAGCTGTCTCTCTGGCATAGCGAGTCACTTCTTTGGAGACTTACACCCCGTAGTGAGCTTGCTGGGAGGAAGGTTGAGCACTGCTCACAACGATCTACGATGTATTTCAAAAGATCTAGGAGTGCACAGAATTCTCAGCACACAGAAATTCTGTATGTTCCAGGAAATGGGTTATCCAGACTGTGGTCATTAAATAGCATTTCTTCTAGTAGGATCTAGGATTCCTCGGGCAACAGCTAATTCTATCTATATCTGGGCAAAGGAAGTACAAGGCAACCCTGGAATGCTCTGTGTTCTATAGAAAATGTTCCAGAGCTAAAGGAAAATACATATATAAAACAACAAACAAACAAGGCATTCACCAACAGAAGATTTGAGGAACACAAAGGACACAGTGACACACAGAGAGATGGATCACAGCCCTGCTGAGGAACTGAGAGACTCAAGATATTTAGAGTGCCAGTTTTCCCTAAATTGACTTAGAGCTTCAAAGCCATCAAAATTAAAATTGTTTACAAGGGGCCAGGGAGATGGCTAGGGGCTGGGGAGATGGCTCAGTGGAATAAGATCTTCCCGGGGAGGTGCAAGGGTTTGAGTTCAATCCCAAGTTCTGCCAAAATAAATAAATAAATAAATAAATAAAATTGTTTACAAGTTGTGTATAAGTTAAGAAAGCAAGCAACCATAACAGGTTGATCCTAAAATTTACATGGAAACACGAAAGACCAGAATAGCCATGGCAACAGCTGGAGATTTTGCTTTCTACTACCAGAGAGCAAACTCACAAAGTCACAATATTTAACATAGCATGATGCTGCCTTAGAGATTAAAAAAAAAAAAAAAAAAAAAAAAGACTAATTTACTAGGATGGAAAAGCTAGAAAAACTTAGAACTCATTTTTTAATTAATTAATCTTTTTATTTATATATGTTTGGTACCGGGCCTCACTACTCAGCCTGGACTCATAATGATCCTCCTGTTTTCAGCCTCCTCAGCAGTGGGATTACAGCTGTGCACCACCACACCCGAATTCAGTCTCAGGCTCAGCATGCCTGGGGGACTGGGGTGGGGTGGGGCATGTGGTGCTGGGGATTGAACTGTGGTCTCTGTGCTTGTCTAAGCAGGTGTTTAATCTGCTGAACTATCTCACCAGCCCAGAATCTCTTTAAAATAAAAAAAAGAAATATAGTATCTGAGACCAAAAACAGGGGTGAATGCTTAAATTAAAAAAAAATCATTATAATAAAAGGCACATTGCCATGAATCCACTTCAGTGTACTCTCCCTTGCTCATCCTAGCATTCTTGCCACACCCTGACATAGTCCTAGAAATCCTCTTTCCCGAGGGTCTTTACTTGTGTTCCCTTGATATCATGCATCCATCCAAACTGTCTCCCCTTTCATGGTCCTCTCCACTTTAGGGAGAGAGGCAGAAGTCACAAGAGACCAGATCTAGGACCGCAGTGGGTAAGAACACAGCATCATGCTTTTCCCAGCCTGTCTTTCCACAGATGGCACTCAGCAGCAGCATTCACTGTGTCACTGTAGGTTTTATAGGAACGATGTCACACTTCCTCTAAAACCACTCATGAAAAGGACTTCACAACTGCTTCAGAAGTGGCAAGAATGATGGGATGAGTGTGTTTCAAGTGTGTGTGCTGGAGGGGGGAGATTTTGAGGGGCACTCATGCTGAAGTGTCTTTTACTGCAATTTTTTTTAAATTTAAACACACACTGCATTTCTAGATCAGCCCTTGTTGTCATCTTTCTAGGTGACAAAATAGCACCATGGCTTGATGGGGAAAGTGTTACTTTTGACAATGGAACTAAGTTAACTGGGCACCCAGAGAGGGAATATCCAAATCCAATGAGCAACATACAAAGTTCTCCCCAGTAGCACCCATCAAGGAACCGCAAACCCAAACTACAAAACTGCAGGTCCTAGTTTGCTCATCAGAATTACTAAAACTAAGAGGATGGCCAGCAACAAGTGCTGGTAGGAATGTGGAAGAAACTGGACTTCCAGGCACTGCTAGTGAGACCGAGAGGTGGCAACAAGCACTCTGGAAAACTACAAATGCTGTAGAAACACATCAAGGGAGAGAAGCTAGGTATCAGAAAGTACGGCTCCATTTATATGAAACCCCAAAGCAGGCAAAATGCATCCACAGTGACAGAGACCTGAAAAGTAGCACTCTTGTAAGATGAGGAGGGTGCAGATGGGTAGGGGACAAGAGACCCTGCCAAGGGTTAACACAGTTGGTATCTTCATGATATTTCTAGCAGCACAGTTCACGTATCTAAATCTCAGAAGTGGTCCACATGTCCATCAACAGATGAACAGATCAAGAAAATGTGTTATTTATACAAGATGGAGCACTATTACTGTGTCATTGAGAAGGATAAACTTGAGTCAGAGAATGTTAAATACCACCTAACTTTTCTTATGTGAGAAATCCAAAGTATAAATAATTTTTAAAAGACAAAATAAAATATATGTAATAGAAAACAGAAAAAGATCTTTTGCAAATGGGAAGGGGCTCCAGAGATGAAGGGAAGAAGGGAGGGGAGAGCTGAAGGAAAAGGGAGTAAAAAGAATTACAAATAAAACCATAGAAACACCTACAAACCTCCTGGGATGAATGTAAACATGATATACTACAAACATGTACTGACAGGGGTTTTTTGTCTTTTTTTTAAATTTTTTTATTTTTTTAAAGATACTACAGTGAAGGTGGCCAGAGGCTGGGCAGGGGGTGTAGTCATGGTTCTTTTTTTTCTTTTCTTTTTTTTTTTTTTTTGGTGGGACCAGGAATTGAACTCAGACCCTTACACTTGCCGGGAAGCACTTATTCTACTGAGCCATCTCCCCAGCCAGTTGTGGTTTTAAGAGGCTGGAGTTTCCTTCCTTCAGGAGGAAGAGTTCTGGAGGTGGGCGGTGGTGACGGCTGCACACCATTACAAATGGATTTAGCAGCACATAACTGTGCGCTTAAAACTAGCTGTGATGCTTAAATCTAACATTATTTTTGCAATAAAACTTTTGGAAAAAACAATGCTGCAGTCAGTCTCTTGACTGACTGTGGACACATGTGAACTCTGCTGAGCTGGACAGTTAACAGATACAAATCTTAATGTATGAAAATTATGCAGCATCTTAAAGGAGGGGTCCTACTGGGCAAATCTGTAAACATCGTGAGGAATTATGATGTCAATGGATTATGAAAAACACAAATGGAATCCATGTATGCATAGTAACAGTATAAGAAAAGGGCAAGGGAGGATCTGTCTTTATAAAAACAGCCATTATTAAGTGGAGGTAAAAGTGAAAGAACGAAGGCGCTACACGTGTGATGGCCAGTGTGACCACTGGCTCATGCGAGGGCTGCCTGTGGGCGCCTCAGACACATGATGAAGTGTTTCTAGGGAACAGGACACTCCAGAGTACCGATGCACAGCCACTCGTCCATGTCAAAGGAAAAACATCTTTACAGTTGCTAAATCTGCATCCACCAAATTGAACAAATGCAGTAAAGTCAATAATGGAGAAAATGGTCTCCCACTCCCCAGAGGAGCTACACTGCCTGTGTTGCATTCTTCACAAGAAATGCCCAGTCTGAATGCCCCCAAAGAAAACAGGAGGCAGAGGAGCTGTCTTAGATAAACTGTCCTGCAGATAAAGTGACACACAGCTCCTTGCAGTGAGTAGGATTCAGGATCCCAAACAAAAGCATAAAAGTATGTATTGATATAGCAGGAGCAATCTGAATGTGGACTCTCTTAAGCCCCCACTGTGGCTGGTGGCCCGTGCTCGTAATCCCAGCACTTGAGAAGCTGAGGCAGAAAGATTGCTATGAGCTTAAGAATAGGCTGGGCTACACAGTGAGTTCAAAGCTAGTCTGAACTACAATACAAGATCCTGTCTCAAAAAAACCACAATAAAAACAAATAAACAAAGGTACTACTGTACAATTATCAGTGTCAAATTTCTTGAGTATGACAAGTCTATGGGGATCATGGAAGCATGTCCTTTCTTTAGGAAATTTGTATGAAGGCATTAGGTGTGACATGTCATAGTCTGTGCCTCATCTTCAATGGGCCAGAAAAGTGCCTGTGAATATAGCTATGTGTATATTCTATACAGAGAGGAGGAAATGCGGCAAGATATTAAACTAGTAAATGAAAGCAAATAAAAAACTTCTTGTCTTTCTGTTGTTCTTTTTGGTACCAAAATCAAGCTCTGGACTTCATGCTTGATAGGCAGGCATTATACCACTGAGTTAAATCACCAGCTCTAAACTTTTCTGTAGGTTCACAATTTCTCAAACTAAAAAGTTGGAAGGAAAAAACAGCCACAGAAATCAGCACTCTCCTTGGGCTGCGCTTTTAGTTTGAGATTCACAGCAGAACTGACACAGCTCAAATGCGTGCCATCTGCTGGCTCTGTCTTCACACCTGGGACACGCAGCCAACTGAGATGTGAATCTATTAAGGAGAGAAAGGTCTAGCTGGAATCAATAGAAAAAGAGATTTCCTAAAGACTTGAAGTCAGCCGGAAGTCAGCAGAGCTGGGGCAGCAGGGAAAGAAGGAAGCAGATCTTGGGGTCTCCTACAGTGCTCACATTCCTGGGCCTGCTGGACTGTCATCTAGAGATGAGTGGGGATGACCTCGAAAGCTCAAAAGGAATCTGATATAGGAGATAGGGGATGGTAGAGCTGGCTGGAACAATGACCGTGCCTGTCAATTTAGGACAGTGCCAGAATCCCCTGAATAGAACTTCTCTCAAGTTTCCATGCGGTGTAGATGGCACAAAGGAAGACAGATGCTATGGAAGCTTGCTGTCATGACTTCTCAGCCACAGTGAGTACTTTTTGCTTTTACCTTCTTTTTCTCTTTTTTTGCACAAGTTTACTCTGCAGACCTCATTTCTCACTTACCTCCTCACCCTTCACTTTTAAAATGAACTTCCTGGCACTGTTTCTGGCTTGCTTTGTCCAATTCTTTGCTCAAGGCAAGAAGGACCAGGAATACTTTTGACTGGCAAGTCATTTCGAAAGGAACTACTCCATAGCAAATCTACACCCAAGCCAAATACTGATAACATCACTGGGATCACCCCGAGCTGATCAGTGTAATGCTGGAGACTTAGCCAAGTGACCCCCATTGAAACTTCAAGTAAAGTGACATGAATTCTAACAGTGAGCCTGCCTTGTTCAGCAGGACTCACATAGGAATCCAGACCCTTATTCTCAACGACATGGGAAAAGATGTTTGGGCAGTTGGGACCTAGTTTAGTTTTCATTCCTTGTACAAAACGTCTTACACAAAATAAAAACCTATAAAATAGCATGAGAATATGATCCATAATCAGGAGAAAAGTTATACCCACAAATAATGTAGATGCTGGCATTAGAGGATAATGTATGAACCAACTATAATAATTAGGTAGAACAATGTATAGAACAGTATGGATAGGATGGATGGACAGATGGAAAAATATCAACAAAGAAATGGAAGTCCTAAGAGGGAAAGTTGAAAAGGAAATACAGAAAGAAAGCTGTCATCAAACGGTGATGATGACAGACCAAACACAGCGAGGGCTGGGCCATGGAAAAGGGACACTGTCTAAAGCAGTCACAGGCAGAAAAAAAGCACGAAAAACAGTCAATACAAAAAAAAGGTAAAAGTGATTGTTTACTTTACTAGCATGCCCAAAGGTGATGAGAAAGGGGAAAACCAGATAGATGAAGAGAAAATGCAGACTAATGATTTCCCACAATCGACTGTAGCTGTCCCACAGAAGAGCAGGGCTCACTGAACCTTGAGCACGCTCCATACGGAGGAGGCCACCTTGGGTGCATCATCATCACACCAGCAAAACCAGTGGTCACCAGAAGACCTTCACCCTCCTTAGAGAAGACCCACAAGCCACAACAGGGAGACGTGTGAGCTACCACAGGGAGACCTGTGAGCCACCACAGAGAAGACCTATGAGCCAACACAGGGAGACCTGTGAGCCACGACAGAGAAGACCTGCCAGCCGCCATAGGGAGACCTGTGAGCCACCACAGAGAAGACGTGCCAGCCGTCACAGGGAGACCTGCGAGCCACCACAGAGAAGACCTGTGAGCCACCACAGGGAGACATACAAGCCTCCACAGAGACCTGTGAGCCTCCACAGAGGCCTGTGAGCCTCCACAGAGACGTGTGAGCCTCATAAAATATTCTATACATTAGGTAATATTTTTAAGGATCAGAAAAAAAATAAAGTCTAAAAAAAAACCCCACACAATCTGAAAGCTAAAAACACATCTAAAATTATAAATTTCCAATTACTTATTTTCTCACTCATACTCTGCTTAAAATACGCTCTATAGTGTATGCTCTAAACTTTAATACACATCTTTACACAAAAAGATCACTTGTTTAGCCTAAGTTCACTCAGGAACTCAGTGAAACCCCATCTCAAAACACAAAACAAGGGCCAGGGATGTAGCTCAGTGCAAAGACTTTGGGTTCAATTCCCCAAATCAGACTTCTTAAACAATTATATTACCCCTAAAAATGAGATTCATAGTTTTAAAATTATATAAATGTGATCATTTACTTTGCTATTTCAGGAAAACAAAAATTCTAATTCTAATTCTATTTAGTTTACCTAAGAAAGCAATTTTTAACGTTCTTTAAAAGACCAACTAGCTGAAAAATAAAAAAAGAAAATCTGTCAGACTGAAAAATCAACTGAAGAGTCTGAATTCCTTTGATAAAAACCAAAAAGACTTTGTGCGAAGTGATGCTTGTGCCACAGGAGTAGCAAAATTCTAAGAAAAACTTAAGATCAGAACTAACCACTGCAGTGTCCACTGAGGGCACACAACGGGGCTTTGTGCTTCTCAAACAGTGGTCTTTCTGACGATCTCTTGGCTCCAAAACATTCGAGGGGCCTTTCCTCCGGCATCTTACTGTTAGCACACAATGCCCCTTTCTCCCATTATTCAGCCCTTATTTCTTAAGTGCAGCTCACAGCAACCGCGCTTCACAGTGCCCCACAGTCCACACCGCCCCACAGGCAGCAGAAACCACAGCATCCCAACTCGCACCACACCAACCACCTCATATTGCTTTGCTCTAACCCATAAGGCCACATATTTCTGTGACTCGAAATACTGTGTTCCACATAAATATCCATAGTGACTTAATTATTTTTAAAAATTCAAGAGCATTGCCTACCTATGATCTCTTCTCCTCAAGAGCGATAGAATACACACATATGCAAATATTGCAGTCAGTGGGAATAAATGTGAGAAAGGATGAATTCATAAAATGTATCTCTGTGACTCTCCTGTGACACTTTCAAAGTCAACGCTGAGGCACGCAGAGGCACACACTGAAGCACACAGCTCCGGCTGGACAGCTGCTGAGTGGCAGTCAGGCTCTGAACCCAGCAGCCTGGATCCAAGTTCATGAACCTCGTAACACCATTTTCTTTAGAAAGCCTTGAAACATTTATAAATGTCCTCTGTAGGATACTTAAAGGTGTTATCTGTGGCTGAGTGTGGTATGTGCATGTAATCTCAGCATGCTGGGAGGCTGAGGCAGGAGGACTGCAAGTTCAAGCCCAGCCTGGGCAACTCAGGAACTCAGTGAAACCCCATCTCAAAACACAAAACAAGGGCCAGGGATGTAGCTCAGTGCAAAGACCTTGGGTTCAATTCCCCAAATCAGACTTCTTAAACAATTATATTACCCCTAAAAATGAGATTCATAGTTTTAAAATTATATAAAGCTTCACTGCAGATCCACTACTTCTTGAAACCCATCAACTGTATCACACAAGAGAGAAAATGGTCTTGAAATGGCCATGGAAAGTTAAGTGAAAATAAATGCTAACATATAAATACAGATCAAAATAATGGACATTTAAAAAATGCTAGTACAGATACAATCTAAAAGGAGTTAAACACGAAATCTGCATTTCCAGGAACGACTCTGAAGCTATTTCGAGCACCTACCTCTCCATGATTGAAAAAGAAGCAGGACACTGTCACAAGGCCTCCCAGCCGGCTGCCACTGGAAAGAGAGGACAAGAGAAAGGGACTCAAGAGCAGAACGAGATGTCCAGGTCGCTTCCAACAGAACCATGAAGTAACTCGGTGCGGCTGCATGCCGATTTCCCCTGGGCCTGTTTACAAAATAGTTTATTTCCTCCAAGGTATCATTAGCCAGAAAATCACTTTATCTTTAAAACAGTTGCGTGCCATCTTCAAAATATGCACCCTCAGAACAGCAAATGAACAGAAAGGGGATGGAGAAATCCTTCCGCTGCCCCGCTAGGCATGCAACCTGCCACTCTTTTCTTCAGGCATGCACTACAGACTTGTGTCTCCACTATTTCTCTTGCACTATTTTCCTTAAGACACAGAACATGTGGAGAAAGCACGGAAAAGTGTACAAGAGGGTTCAAAGGTGGTCACAGCATGGGACGAGCCAACCTCCTCCCCACGCTTACCAGTGTGCACAGCACCTCAGCACACTAATTTACTGCTTCGCACGCCAGACTGTAAGCCAGTTTTCCTCAGAGTACATTAGGGAAGCACTGACATACACATAAGCTTTCATCTTTTCTCTGCTTTCAGAAAAGTGGCCTAGCACATAAATAGCAAAGGATGACAATCAGCCTTCTAAATGTTGCTTAAAAACCAAACAGGTGGAGCTGGTGGGTCCAGCAAGAACTCCTCTACCTGCTCAGGGAGGAGGGAACACCTTCCCGCCCTGGCTCCAGGGGAGAGGGTAGAGACTGTGTCTGTGTTAGCTACAACTTCACTTTCCTTTCATTCCTCAAAGTCTCTCCTCTGTCGAGTGCACACTGCAGGGCATCTACGCCAGGACCCTGCCCATCATCTGCCTGCATGTCCCTGACACAGTGAGGTCTGACAAGGGTCAAAGGCCCCGTCCGCTCAGGGGTCACAGGCCTAAGGACTTGCTCTTTGGGACACAAGAAATGGCAGGGAGGGGCTGCACTGTGAGCACATCCCCACAAAGACAGGGGCCTGTGAGCCTTAACAAGGCAGGAAGAGGAGGAGCAGAAGGAGGAGCAGGAGGAGCAGGAGGAGGAACAGGAGGAGGAGGAGGAGGAACAGGAGGAGGAGGAGCAGGAGGAGGAGGAGAACAGTGTGAGCTTCATGGTTTCTACTTCCATGTGGAGCACCCTCAGCTATTTGCTGCAGAACCGGCAGGAACAGCAAGAGAGGTCTGAAGACTGAAATACCACGTGCCCGTAAGGACAGAGGGGACAAGGGGAACCACAGGTTCATGAGCCGTCTTTAAGGGGGTGGGTGAAGTGAGACCACTAACACGCAGGGTCTCTAACTGTAAGACTGTGTGATTTCTTTCCACTGGCTGTCACTGGATGGGCACAAGCAAAACAGAACAGCCACAGAAACTGGATTTGGGCTGGGAAGTAGCCAGAACGATAGGCTGCCGACAGGAGACAGGAAGTTGGACAGGCGGAGGCACAAAGGGCAGGGTCCTCGCAGGAGGCATCCCAAGCATCTTCAGTAGAAGAAAGAGTGAGGGGCCCAGGTAACCACGGGGCTCTCCCACTTTTCCTCTGAAAATTACAGTGCACCAGCACTGGCAAAAAGACAGACACTTATTTTACAGAAGGGAACAGACATGAGAAGGGTTAAGACAGAGTTCAATGGTTTTCAATAACAATACATTTTAAAAGTCTGACCTTTTTCTAACAAGACAAAAAAGTATAGTATTTCTTATTAAAAATAAGTGACGCTGACCTCCTCCTGCCCTCCATCCCTGTCACCTGCATCCATCTTTGAGCTTCTGGGTGCATCCCCACAGCTCCCCTACGGCCACACAGAACCACTTCTAAGGTGAGCACACTCCATGCATTCCCATGAAACCTGCTCTTTTTCTAGTTAATCATGAAGGTCTTCCCTAATCAATACATGCAACCTAAGATATTCTTTTTATAGACATGGTGTGCTTGCACTCTCCAAGGACAGAGGCGAGGAGAAGCCGGGGTCCCTGCATCACACAGGAAGCTACCCACCATGGCCTGGCTGACACAGCAGCCTGGTGCTTAGAAAGCGCGTCCCGTCCCTCGCATGGACACAGACTTCCTTTTCACTGCTGTCTGGACAGGCTTCCGGTCTGTTCGTCTGAGAACATCACTTCAGAGCTCCACTTGGTTCTGCTCCACAGACTTCCCTTCTGTGAATGACCTGTTTGTGGCCTCCTTGTGCTTCCCTACTGCATTACTGGCTTCCCCACTTATAGCCTGGGAGTAACAGATCCTTAGCTATCATACACTTTGATGAAGTATTATGATATAATTGATAATTTATGCCAGGAAGAGTATTTTTTAACTTTATGAAGTATGTCAATATTTTTCTTTGTGCCTTCTTCCAATTCCTGCCAGGTCTGTGAGGTCTTCCCCATCTCAAAATCACACTGCCTCCTAAGATTTCTAGCATTGTGGCATTTTTCACTTAGATCTTTCATCTGCAGAACCCTAATTTTTTCTCTTTGAAACAGCCAATTATGCTAACATCCTATCAAGTAAACATCCCTGCTCCCAGTGAAATGAAATTCAGCCTGTAATATATATTATTTTCTTACAGTGTTAGAATTTGTTCTATTATGGTTGGCCTCATTCTGTATTTTTTATATCATACATCATTCATATTACTATAGTAGGATGGCAATTTTAACACCTGATAAAGAACAATCCCCACACCCACCTACTCTAAGTTTTAAAAGAATGTTTAGGCAATTCTTAGCAACTTTCATACATAGCACCTTAACTAGTCACCTCTTCAAACTGTTAAGTTTCTGATCAGAATGGCATAAATTGAGAAGGATCTCATTTACAGAAGAGTGATTTGCCTGTTCAGTTGTACACTACCCCTTTCTTCATTTACGCAAGTGTATTGTGTTTTGTTTTGTTGTGCCTTGGTAGCAGGGATCAAACTCAGAACCCTGTGCTTGCCAGGCTAAAACTGTATTTCTTAAATAAAAAATATAAACAAGAAATAGAGTAGTCAAATACCTAAAGTTAAACCTTCTAGACATAGAGAGAAAAGGATAAAATCTGATCATGGTGGAGTATTTCAGCACTTTCAGAATTTGGCAGGGTATGTAAACTAAAGAGAATAAATCAAGGATTTGAAGGAGATAAATACACAGTACTTCGCACAGAAAAGAGATGTATTCCTTTAAATGTCTCAAGAGCAACTAAAAAGACATCTCAACCTCTGACTATGTCCCAAAACAATGTACAACACAAGAAAGATGAAAAAAAAAAAAAAAAAAAAAAAACATTCTGAGAATGTAATACTAAAGAAAGAGTGAGGAGGGCCAAGGATAAAAGCCTTCCTACCAAGCCTCGGGCCAAGGCTAGCACAGGCCAGCTCCACCTCCTCAGCCGCACAGAACCTTTTCTGGGACAGAACCACTGGGACCCACCCTCCCACAGGTCACCAAACACAGACGCTGCTCGGGTCCCTTTAAGGAACCTACACTGACTGGGTGTCACCTCACTAGTGGGGGGGGTTATTTTCTGGCACCTTTTACACCCCACAACTTAAGAAAGGAAGAAGTTTTCTGTTTTATAAGGACAATTCTGAGAGATCACTACCACGTAGTGAATAAACTTTCAATAAATCAAAATTAGTGTCCCTGACACTGAACTCTCTCCCATCCTGAGCCTGGACCACCTCATCAGACATTTTTTTTTTAATTTTTTTTTTTTT